AGCTACAAACACCTGTAACTTCAAGTACTTTAGGGGAACTGTAGAACTCAACAGGAAAGTAACCTGAAGGGGGAAATATTCCACTTTAATTTTTTCTTTTGCAAAATAAAATACAATTAGAAAATAAAAGATCTGTGTACCTTTATAGCTACACACATACTCTGTTAAATGAAGTATATAGGGCTTGGCACAATTCTCTGAATATCCATGAAATGCTCAATCTTGGGATAGATTCCCTTTTGCTCAACCCTGCAACCATTCCCTCCACCAACCTGTAATAACCTGCAGTATCTACCAAGAGCAAAGCAGTGAGATGCTATGTAAGCAGTCAGTAAAATGAAAGAGGGGAAAGGACAGACAGATTTACATCTGTGTTTTCTGCATGCCAGGTGAGAGGAACAGGTGAAGTAGGAGATATATCTGGGAGTCAAGTAGTTGTGGAAAAGAGACTTGTATTAAATTCCTTAAAAAAAGAAAGTACTTATGAGAAAACCTTATTTTTTAAAAAATACCTGACAGTTATTGAGTTATGGTTACATAGAAAGTTTGTGTGATGATTTAGGGAACTTGTCTGTTCAATTTATTGTGTGAGATTATGAACTCTGAATATATCTTTATAAACTCTATTTTGAATCTCCATGGGATTTCTTTCGTGGCTCTTTTCCTCTATGTTGGATTGAAATTCCAGCAGGGTACTGGTACAGGTCAGATAAGAGCAGCTTGTTAAATCTCGATTGCTCTCTCATTGAAATGGAGCAGATGTAAACAATCAACTGGCTCCATCCCAAACTGGTTTATCAGGTGTGAAGTCACCTGCCAACAAAGTAACCTGCTAGAGGTCACTGATCCCCTGGGAAAGCTGATCTAAGAGTCTTCTGGAAGATTATAGAAGCACCGCAATGGTATTAACATCTGATGCAAAGCATTTTTGTGCGATATGCTATCATGTGCTTCCTGAAAGATTTCACCTTCTGTGGAACTCCAAAAGAGGGTGTGTATACACCATGGGGGAGTTTGAAGGGCTAGCACTTAGTACAGAGGCTAGACAACAGGACAGTGAGTTCCAATCCTCAGGAAAGGGTTCCAGACAGAATACCCCTAAATTGTGCCCCAGGATCCCCAGAGGGTGGCAGTGGCTTTGTTCCATTCAGGCTCTGGAAGCTTAAAACACCTGTGAACTGAGAGGTTGTGTTCCCTCATAGCAGCCTAGGGAGTGGCCAAATATAATTGCAAGATATTGCGAGCCCTCAGTTTTCTAACACACCACTCAACAGAACCAGAACTAAAATTGTACCTTCTTTTTTCATGCTGCCCTTATGAAGCAGAGTAAGCCAGCTTTCCTGCATGTGCTGGCTCCCACAGAGCCTCCTCCCCACCCCGCGTTGCTGCCTTAGAGGGGGCAGGTGGGAGCCAAGCCGATTGCCTCCTCCCTGTATCAGAGGCAAAAGCGCAGGGGCCAGAAAAAAAAAAGCCATATTGCATACTTACAAAAGCTGGCCCCCTGCACGTGACAGCTCCCACGGAGCCGCCTGCCCTCCCATGCTGTTGCCTCTGATACAGAGGCAGCTGCTGGGGAGTGGGGAAAGAGAAATGGGAGCTGGTGCTGCCAGCTCCTGCCTTTCCTCCCCCTGTGTGTAAATGTGTAACCACTGAAAAATTCCCTCATCACTCAGCTCCCTCCACTGAGAGCCAGCTGCAATGTTTATATTGCTGTTTTTACCATAGGCCTCTTTCCCCAAACTAAAACTCCTGCTGCCGTGTTGACATACCTTCTCTAGGTCTTTCTTGATAGAATACTCTTCAGGGCAGGTGTCATTCCTTCTTGTTTGTCTGGAAAAGACTTAGCATATCTTGGATAATACTATCAGCAAATAATAAATACTGCAATACAAATGTATATTATGTATGTACTGTTCACTCAAGTATCTCAAAGCAGCAAAGAAACTATTTTTATAATTTAAAGAACTTTGCAGCTCAATTGAGGATTTTAAAATTCATTAATTCTTCCATTTAAAATGTTTGCCATGACAATGTAGTTCAACAACAAGATAGTTCCACCAGAATTATATTCTGCAATTATTTCTGGATCTACAACAGCGTTTCCCAAACTATGGGCCGTGGCCTGGTAGCGGGCTGCGAGAAAAAAATACCAGGCCTCAGCGTGGCTGCCAGGGTGTTCCGGGCTCCCGGACTGCCCCTGCAGCGCCGGGTTCCCCAAGCCCTCAGCCAGGCTGGTTGGATGCAGCCATATGTTTCAGGCTCCCGGCAGAGGCATAGTGAGGGTTACCAGGTGAGCTCTAATTGCTGGCTGTGAAGGGAGAAGGGGAGGTTGGATATGGGCCGCAGGGAAGCAGGGTCGGGGCAATGGAGCTGCAGGGAGGAGATAGGGAGGGGAACCGGCTGGCAGAAGCAGGGCTGGCCAGGTTGTGGGGGCAGTGAAGCTGGCTGGGGGAGATCGCGGGGCTGGCTGGGGAATTGGCCGGCAGGAGCAGGGCTGGCGGGGGCAGCAGGGCTTTCCAGGAGAGATTGGGAGAGAATCAGCTGGCGGGAACCGTGGGGCTGGCCCAGGGCAGAAGGAGAAGGGGAGGGGGGAGAGAATCGGCCAGCGGGGAGCGGGACAGTTCAGGGCACACGCAGATCCTGAATAAAAATTTAAAAGCAGTGCCTTTTAAATATCCCCACTGCTGACAGTGAAGTTTAAAGGCACTATAATGTGTCAGAATGGAGGGAACCTAGTGCATTCACCATCTGGAATGAGAATATGGATAAAAAATTCCAAAGATGGTGTCAGCTTTCTGAAAATAAATGAGCCCCTTTTCAATACAGGGTGCAGGGTTTTATTAGATTACAGTCCATTTTTACAATCCATATTCCCTTAACTTGCTAGTAAGAATGTTGTAGGTGGCCGTATCAAAAGCTTTGCTAAAGCTGGCCCTGGGGGCTTTGGGAGGACCAAAACCAACGTATTTGCATATTCGTCATTTGCTTAATGAATATGAAAATATGCAAATGAATGTTACTGGTCCTCCGAAAGCTCATGAATGGATTTACTGGTCCCCGTGTCAAAAAGTTTGGGAACCCCTGATCTACAACATAGCATAAAAACAGTATTTTAAAGAAGTCAAACAAACTGAGTTATAGCCATCCTGTTTTAAAACTATTTAATAATATTTTCACAATATATATTACAATAAACTAATTTAAATAACGTTAATACAAGCTATCAAAAAACAAAACTTAAAGTGATATTAATCCTTACTTTACATAAACAGAAGGCTACAGTATTATGATCCTCTCTGATCTGTCAATATATAGTCATAATTTTAAGAAAAACCTTAAGTAAACATTTTCAAATGAGATTGCCTAAAGTTAGGCATACAAATCCATGTCCAGGTACCCAAAGAACTGGCTTGATTTTTGGAGTTGCAAACATCCTGTTTTCCCATGAAGATTAGAGAGCTCAGCAGCTTTGCAAGCTAACTTTTTAAGTGTCTAATGTTTCAATTCTGTAAAAACTTATGCTCAAATGTAACTTTGTGAATTTGAGTAGTTCCGTTAAATTCAGAGAGACTACTCATATGTATAAAAATCACATGAATAAATGTTTGCAGGATAAGGATAAATACTGATTTAGAATTTAATGTAGATGTAGATGTCTCAAATTTGGAGGCCTAAAATTAAACTTTTGGTTATAATATTTACACAATTAATCAGAATGATTAATGTAATTATGTAATTAGACTTTTTATGTATTTAGGATTTTTAAATTTTAGAAACATGTGTGTGCTTGAATTGTAGCCAATTTTCAAAATATTACCTGGACAATTTAATATATTTTTTCAAAATATCATTAGACTAATCACTTGCCAAACTTCAAGTTTTAAGCTTTGAGTTAAACAAATATAAAGAGCATTCAGCCAGTAATTTCTTTCTCTACAGACTATATTCTGCCACAATTTTTAAATAGAAATCCTTATTGACAAAAATGTTGATTTCTGCTAAAAGTTCCTGGCACAATCTGGTCCTATATATTTAAAAGTTAACAAACTTTCAAACAGTCCAAATGCATTTTTAAAAATTGAAAAAGAAGCAACATAATCTTGTAACCCCCTCCTTCCTAAGTTTTGATTTGGGTAAATATTTACAACTGAACCAAACACCTGAAAAAATTATTATAATAGAATACTGACACAACCTTAATGTCATAACAGTACTTTTTATATTAATACTAGAAGCTTCTCCAGTTGCCAATTAAAAATACATTTTTCCACAGAAACCTTATCCTCATTTATAGGTAAGTGCAGCATCATGCTAAACATGTTGCTTGGACCACTGGTTTAGGAAGATACAGGGGCAAAAGAAATAGGTTGCTTCTCTTGCTACATAGTGGAAGGGCCCAATCATCCAAATATTTCTCTAGGGTATGTCTATATTGTGGAGCTATTTCGGGATGCTGGAAGTACCATAAAATAGCTATTCTGTGTCTACTGAAGCAGCCCATTATTTTGAAATAGATTTTGAAATAACGGATGGCTTATTCCAACATCCCGGTAACCCTCATTCCACAACGATTAAGGGGCACTTCGGAATAGCGAGTTATTTTGTAGGCAGCACCAAATTACAAAATAAGCTATTTCAAAGTGCACTCAAAGTAAACTATGCAATTTGCGTAGCACAAATTGCATAGCTTATTTCGAGCTAAGGGTGCTGTGTAGATGCACCCTAAGTGCTTAACTGTACACATGCCAGTAGTTCCTCTGTATGTGCATAAAGTTAAGCATGTGTCAAAATATTGAGAAATGAGGGCCCATATCATAACAATAATTATTATTGATGTACAACCTGTGGCAACTGAAGAAATCCTAAAAATGCGAAGGTTAGGAGCACATCAATTAAGTGTCTGTGAGAAGGAAATTATTTTGACTCAGTAAAACCTTTTTGTATTGTGACTTGAAAGATGCACCCAAGGAGGACAAAAAAGACAAAATAAGCCATGTATCTGTTTTCATCTCTCTTCTTGACCTTGCATTTATTGTCAATTAAAGACAGTTCTAGTTTATATGATATTTCATGATTTTCATTTTTTAAATACTCCATTTTTTCCTAATACAAAATAGCTGGCAAACAGTCAGTCTATACTTCATTGTCTCTGATCAGATGTTTTCAAATGGAAACAGTCTCCATCTTCAGAGTAAAAATCAGATAAAATCATTCCTGTTCCATTTATTTAAAAAAATTAAGGCCATAAAATCATTCCTGTGCCACCTTAATTACCTATACTAAATAGAAAATTGTTTTTGAAATCCTTCAACTGGAATGGTTGTCTCCTATTTTTTCCGAATATACTGGGAACAATTAATATGTCCACCTGAATGTTTAGTCTCCAACATCCCCATCTCTATCCCCAATGAGCCACAGAAAGTGAAAACTCATAGCTAATAAGGCAGTTCCAAGCAGATCTCCCAACGCAGTAAGATAAGGGATAGAAAAACTGTCGGGATCTTTTCCTTTTTTCCAGAAGTGGTGCACCATCCAGTCAGCAATCCATAACAAAGTAAACACCTATGGCAGAACATTAAATAAAAGATAAACCAAAGTCAGTGGGAGCAGAGTTAGAGCACTTTTGACAATCTCACCTTAAATGTTAACTTTGATCTATTTCACTGCTGATTATTTTAGCAGAAATATTAGGCTAATAGGCCTGATTTCCAAGAGGTGCTGAGCA